ATTTTTTTGCCCAAAAATTCGAATTATTTTATTCCCTACTTCTTTTCTCATCTTTCTGGTTTATTTTATTTTCCTTTATTTATTTTGAAAATTTGAATTTTTCTGCGGCATCCTAAAATCTGATTAGGACTTAGCCATTCTTGCTTTCGGCATACATTTTGACCCCGTGGGGGTAATGAAGTGCTGCCAAAATTTTCTGTTTTCTTAATACCTAGTCTTTTTTAGCACATTTTGACCCCTTGAGGGTAGTGAAGTGCTGGCAAAATCTTCTTATTTTTCTTTTTCTTCTTCACGGCACACTTCGGCCCCATAGGGGTAACGAAAGGCTGCCGAAATTTTTGAGAATCCAAAACTTAGTTAGTTTCTCTTCACTCTCCTCCGCCTCCTTATTTATTTATCTATCTATTTATTTATTTGCTTATTTTTCTGAAAATTTTAATTTGCGGCATTGTAGAAATTATTGTGTTTCTCCTAGTCTCTCCTTTTTCTTTGCACATTTTGACCCCGTTGGGGTAAGAAAATGTTGCCGAAATTTTCAAAAAAATAAATAAGTTCTTTTTCCTCGCTCTTTACATTTTGTTTCGTTATTTAATTTTATTTTTCTTTTATTTTATCTTTATCTCGAAAATCCACTGTTTATTCTATTTTCTCTCCCCCTCCCCTCCATATTATTTTTTTTCATGATTAGGTCGCCGCTACCCTCCCCTAACCACCTAAACTCCGATTAGGGTTTTCTTAGGGTTTTCTAGGGTTTAGGGTTCTCCTACCCCCCCCTCCCTCCTACTCTCCCGCCTCCTCCCGTCGGGCACCCTGGACCCGGACGGATCCTCCCCCCTCGAGCGGTTCGGCGCCTTCGTCTCACGCGCGACCCGCAAAATCCAAGGCGAGCCGATGCACACATACTCACTCCGCTCCCGCTCCCGCGGTCCCCTTCCTCTTACCGGTGCGTCCCTTTCCCCACACACTCCTCTGAGGACTACCTCCATTCCCCTTCCGGCCATGGAAGGGAGTTCATCGGAGGAGATCACCGCGGCGCAGTCCACACCCCAGGTCAGCGCGTCGTCAGCGGCTCATGATCAGGCTGATGCGGACACCATGGACCTTCATGCCGTCCTTGTAACAATTCAGGCGCAACTTAGTACACTTGGACCATTGCAAGCGCAAATCAATGCGCTTGCCCTTGACGTCAACCGCCTCAAGGGCTCTCCCCATCGCTCTCCCCTCCACTCTCACACCCCATCCCCTGCCGGCTCACCGGCCGGTTCCCCACGACTCCGGCGACACGGACGTGGTGGTTTTTCCTCCCCTGTGACTCAGGTCCAACACTCCCATTCAGCAGTCGTGAGTGTCGCTGCCGCTCAAACCACCCCGTTTGTTGTGGCACCTCCCTTGGCACCCGCCGCCCCTACCGTCTTTACTGTTGCCGCAGGTGTTGCGGTCCAGATACCTCCATCTGGCCCAACAGTTTCATCGACCCACACCGGTGCTGCTTCCCAGCTTCCCGCATCGGTCGCGGCATTACGACTCCGCCCTCTTCTTCCCGCCTCTGTTCCCCTACCCCCACAGCAGGGTACCACTCAGGTTGGGACTCCTCTTCCCACTGGGAGACCTGCTCCGCCTCCTCCACCTCCGACCCCGCGCACCCAGCGAGTGGCCACTTTACAGGCCATCATTGCGCAGGCTCAGGCGGAGATCCTGGCCCTGAGACAGCCTCACCCTTCACAGGCTGCTCACCCTTCTTCTTCCTCCACCACCTCCTCGACCCCCATTATGCCGGCTCGTTTCCCTCGACCGACTCCTCAGCCTCTTCCCTCTTACCTAGCCATTCTGCGACAACTACCCACGGTCGTTGCCTCCTCGTCTGCTGGTCCATCCGCTATAGGCCACGGCCCACAGCCTTCCCCCACCTCTGCCCCTGCAGCGGCCGCGACTTACGCCGCCGCAGTGCACTCGCCTCGAGCTCTTTCCCCCCGCCATCAGCACAGTGGACATCCTCCTGTGCGCACCACGGACATTCCTGAGTATGATGGCACATCCCGTGTCTCTCGCTGGTTGCAGATAGCAACGCACACACTCTCTATGAGGACCACCCGTCAGTTGTGGTGCGATGTCCTCGCAACCAAATTGCGAGGTAGCCCTTCCACTCTGTGGGAGGATCATTATACCCAGCGCCTCCGCGTGGGTGAGGTCCCCACTCTTGCCGCGGCCTTCCTTCAGGACCGCTTCGGCGCTCGTCATGACGCCACCGACGCCTTAGACCGCGTCACCCAGACCAGATGGTCCAGGTCCTCTGTACCGGCCGACCTCGAGCATCACATTGGTGTTTCAGGACGCTCGCCTTGTCTGTGACGAGACGTTCCTAGCGGAGGTCACACTCACCGACCAATTCATTGTCAGCCTGCCGACTAACTACCGCCTAGAGCTATGGAGGCGATCATTCTCTTCCACGGAGCAGGCATACGAGGCTGCGCGTCAGTACCAGAGGATGTGTAGTCGCTTCTCTGTCGCCCCATCCTCCTCACGGCCAGCCGCCACCTCCCAGTCTCGTGGTACCACCAGAGGCCGCTCCTCGTTTGCTGGTCGTTTTCGTCGCCCGACTCGACCTGGAGCGCCATTCTCTCGGCACTACAGTTCTCTCGAGTACGGAGAGGATGCCTCAGCCGAGCTCGACCCTACCGTTGGGGACGCCCCCGAGGACATCGAGCTTCGGGACGTCATCCGGTATCACTTGGATGACGACACTGTCCCGGTGGCCGACTGCCTGCAGATGGCCATGTATGCCATGGGTCGTGCGCACAGTCGGGTGGCACAGGTTGGCACCCGCACACCCACCGTTCCCCAGATAGACCTCCCGCAGGGTTTCATCCCTCCTCGCGGAGCTCTATCTCCTGAGGAGTGTGCCGCCCTCGAGGCCCGTCGCGGCTGCCTTCGTTGCCGCCTGGATGGGCACACCTCCCCACGGTGTCCATACCATACCGCCCTCGATCGGCACTACGCTGATATCTCTCGTCAGCGTCGATCTCAGTCCTCCCCCGGCCCCGCCCGGCCAGCCCCATCCACCTAGCCACGGTGCAGTGTGCCCCTGAGGCCTCGCACGTAGCCGGCTTCCCGACCACCGAGTCGCGGTTTGCCCCTTTGGCTACCCCAACTGAGGACCCTCAGGACACGACAGACACAGTTCTCTCTACCCCGTCGTCTGTCGAGGTACCGTCTGCCTCCCAGCAGACCGCCACATCTAGCGCTTTTCCCCCGAGACTTCCGATGCGTCGCGCCATTCGCACAGCCCGTTGTAGCGCTCAGCTGGCGACTCGCGATGACATTGTGTCATCTCTCCTGGACTTGAGCATTCTGCAGGCTCGTCAGGAGCGACTCACGAGACACGTCAACGTCCTGCGTCGTCTTCTCGCTCTGCTTTCTGACCCTGATCGCACCCTACCCATTATCCCTATTCGCCTAGGGACATCTACGAGGGTGTACCGCGCTTTATGGGACTCTGGCTCGCAGGGAGATTTCATTCACCCTCGAGTGGTTGAGGAAGCTCGTCTGGCTACGTCTGGGTCCCTCTCTCCTATCTCCGTTACCCTCGGAGATAACAAGACACAGTGCTTCTTCGATTAAACGACCCCAGACCTCCATTTCTCCCTCACCCTCCAGCCACCGGATAGTACGCAGGCGCCTCGGCGCTACCATTCCTCCGCATACTTCGATGTGCTGGAGGCTGGGTACGACTTTATCCTTGGCACTCCCTGGTCTCGCCGGTTCCGTAGCACAGAGGCCGAATGGGCGACCGAGACACTCGTTCTCAAAACGAAGTGTGGTCAAACCCATTGCGTCCCCTTCATTGGAACCACGGGCGACACTCCTCCTAACCTACCTCCCTGGGACCCTCGTCCCTCAGGGTCTCACCCCGACATCGCCTTCACTTCCCATCGTCAGTTTGCTCACTTCATACAACAGGAGGACATCACGTTCTACTCAGTGAACGTCATGGATCTTCTTCGCTATGATCCACTTTGTCCCGAGGTTGAGCTCATCTCTCTGGAGCCCGACCCCCCTGACCCTTCCTCCATCTTCGTGGCTCCCATCTCTACGTCCACCCGTCAGCCTGCGGATACCCCCTCCACGTCCCAGGCCCCTGCGCCGTCGACTGTCGAGTCCACACATACGTCTCGTGCCGACGCAGACGCTGAGGAACTCACACGGTTCACGGCCTGATTCGAGAGTACCGTGACGTCTTTCCCCCGTATTTCTCATACAGCGGGATTCCTTCGATGCGCGGTGTTGAGCATTCTATCCAGCTCGTGCCCGACTATTGTGTTCACCATCAGGCACCGCACCGACTCTCGATCCCAGAGGCGACGGAACTGAAGTGTCAGCTTGAGGAGCTCCTTCGACTGGGTTTCATTAAACCGAGTAACTCCCCTTGGGGTGCACCTGTCCTCTTTGCTCGCAAAGCGGACGGAACTCTCCGCCTTTGCATCGACTATCGCGGCCTTAACCGTTACACGGTTAAGAACAACTATCCCATGCCGCGCGCGGATGAGCTGTTTGACCGTCTGGCAGGCAACCGCTTCTTCACGAAGATCGATCTTCGTAGTGGTTACCACCAGATCCGCGTTGCCGCAAAGGACCAGCCGAAGACTGCCTTCCGGTCGCGTTTCGGCCATTACGAGTTCACGGTGATGCCATTCGGCCTCACCAATACACCCGCCACCTTCCAGACGACGATGAACGATATCTTGAGGGACATCCTTGAGGAATACGTTCTCGTATACCTGGACGACATCTTGGTCTACAGTCGTACCTTAGAAGACCATATCAGACACCTCTGCGATGTCCTACAGCGCTTACGCAAGCATGGCTTCTATGTCAAGCTCAGTAAGTGCCGCTTTGCCCAGCGCAAAGTGGACGTCCTAGGACACCATGTGTCTGACCAGGGTCTCCACATGGACGACGCGAAGATCACTGCTATTGCAGAGTGGCCCGTCCCCACATCTGCCAAGCAGCTTCGCAGTTTCCTAGGCCTCACCAGCTACTATAGTAATTTCATCCAGGGATACGCTAGGTATTCCTACGTCCTTACCTCCATCCTCCTCTGGAAGAACCCGTCGTGGTTTAGGACACCCCTCTGCGAGGACACCTTCCGCGCCCTTAAGAAGGCGGTGACTTGTGCGCCGGTTCTTCGTCTCCCTGATTTTGATCGCCCCTTCATCATCACCACCGATGCGTCAGATTTTGCAGTAGGAGCTGTACTTTCCCAGGTGTTTCCCTCTCCCCCTGATTCACCTTATCAACATGTTTCTCCCTTCCATCCCCCTCCTGCTGACACTGCTTCTCGACTGATGCCTATCCTATCACCACTTCCCTCCACTGACAGTCCTCCCATTACTTACTTCCCGACCATCGCGGAGGATGGGACTGTCGAGGCTCGTCCTGGGGATTGCCTGATCGCCTTCTACTCCCGTCAACTACTTCCTGCCGAGATAAACTACACTGCCAATGAACGTGAGGTTCTCGCAGTAGTTTATGCTACCCGACATTGGCGTCATTATCTGCACGGGGCGCCCTTCACGGTGCGCACGGACAACTCAGTTGTCCAGGCCTTCCTCACGAAGCCCAAGCTCTCCCCTCGACAGGCACGTTGGTGGCGTGACTTATCCGAGTTCATTTTCACCACTCAGCCCATCAAGGGTGAAACGAACCGCGTCGCCGATGCCTTGTCCCGCCGTCCTGATCACAATCAGGAACCCATCCATCTTGCTGTCATCTCCATCACCACTGTTGATCAATCGGCGATCGATGCATATCGCACCCAGTACCGTCACTGCCCGGATTATCGCGTCATCCACGCGACCCTGCGGAGTGGTAAGACCGTTCCCTCATACTCCCTCGGTGAGAACGGTCTCGTGTACTGGCATAGCAGATCTGGTCAGCTAGAACCACGTATCTGCGTTCCCTCCACCGGACAGCTCCGCGTCCAGGCTGTAGCAGAGTTCCATGACCAGGCAGCTGCCGGTCATATGGGCTTCCACAAGACGTTGGCTCGTGTTTGCCGCTATACGTCTGGCCGAAGTCCAAGGACTTYGTCAAAGCCTACATCCAGGAGTGTCCTACTTGCCAGGAGGTGAACAGTGCGAACCAGCTTCCGTATGGGTTACTTCAGCCCTTACCCATACCCGAGGGTCGTTGGCAGTCCATCTCGATGGATTTCATTGGTCCCCTCCGCCCACCCACTAAGCGCGGTCATGATGCTCTCTTGGTCGTCGTCGATCGCTTCACGAAGCGTGCACGTTTTGTCTCATGCCGCTATCGCATTAGCGCTCGTGAGGTGGCCGACATCGTCTTCGACCGAGTCGTGAGAGATCACGGCTTACCTCAAAGCATCATCTCCGACCGTGACCCGCGCTTTACCAGCACATTCTGGTGATGCCTACACGAGGTGTACGGATCCCAGCTCCGCTTCTCATCGTCTTACCACCCTCAGACGGATGGTCAGACTGAGGTCACCAATAAAACTCTCAGTAATATCCTCCGAAAGTTTGTTAGGGATGACCAACAGTGGGACTTACACTTAGCCCACACGGAGATTGTGTACAACCATGCTGTTTCGCCAGCCACGGGGACGTCGCCATTCTATTGCGACCTCGACTACCACCCTCGCGTACCCGCGGATTTCCTACGACCATCGCGGTTGCGCCCAAACACTCGTTGCCCTGCGCTTGACAACTGGATCACCCACATGGTGGCGATTATGAAGCGCGCACACGAGAGTCTAGCCGACTCCCAGACTCACATGGTCGCACGAGCAAACCGATCACGAATGGATCATCCATTCAAAGTCGGTGATGATGTGTTCGTCGGCGCGCGCCACTTACAGCTCGAAGCAGATATGCTCGCAAGTTCAGGCGTCGTTTCTTCGGTCCATGCCGCATCCTTCAGGCCGTCGGTTCTAATATTGTCGCTAGTCTGGTCAGCTTCCGTGTGAAGCTACCTGATTACCTTCGACAGACTCGCGTACACGATGTTTACCACGTCTCCTTGCTGCGTCCTTATCGCAGACCGTCCGAGCGCTTCGTCGGACACCCTTATGAGCGCCCTCCACCTATCATAGCGGACGGTCACGAGGAGTTCGTTGTTTCCGACATCGTATCACATCGAGTTACCGACGATACCCCTCCACGCATCGAGTACCTTGTGCGTTGGAAGGGCTACCATGATGAGGAGGCTACTTGGGAGCCCCTCAAGCACTTGCAGCACACCAAGATGTTGGTGCGTACATATTATCGTGATCGTCGTGCTGAGATATCTTCATCTGCTCAGCCGACTGACCCTCTTCCTCCTCCTCCGGCTGAAGAGATTGCTGAGGACGAGTCCGCTCTCTCTAAGGTCGTTCCTCAGCCGCAGACAGTTGTCTCCGAGCGTCCACATCGCACTCATCGTCGCCCTTCATGTTACGATGACTGACACTCTTATCCTCCATCTTTCCCCACTGACTCACACCATCAAGTACTCCATCATCAGCTCTTCTTCTGGATGTCACCGTTTTGCGGCTCTGCTTCGACATCGACTCGACTGCTACTTCATCGACGTCATCGACCACTTCGACGACTTCAGCTACCTTATCGGCTTCAACTACTTTGGACGTGACTACACGTCACCACCCTACCCTGTATACTTCCTTGCCTCTGTCGCATGATGATTCTCACTTAGTTGGGTCTCTTTGAGTTGGGCTCTCCCTTGGTATCGCATAGGCATTGGGACCGTAGCGTTATCTTGGTTTCCTTGCTCCCAGATCTAGCTCCCTCTTTCAGTCGGTGAGTTGTGTGCATGTTTCCCTCACCCATTGGCCTCATCACCCTAGCGCCGACCATTGCATGCCTTCAGTTAGGCATATCTCCTTATTCCAGGCTCCCTCTTTTCATGGTCGACCCTGCATGGTGTCACCCTTGTCGAGCATTACCCCCCTTGATGGTCTATCTGTTAGGGTCATTGGTTTTATTCGCTACCATTCCCCTACCTCGAGCCTGATGACCTATCCCACTTTTTTGTGTGACTGCCCTTAGGAGTTTCGATTCTTAGACTGCATTCACCCCCCTCTGAGACCATTCCACTCTTAGTGGTTTAGCGACACGACATGACCTTGTGACATATTGCTCTCTTCTCCTTTCAGTACTGAGGCAGTTGCCGCTAGGACTCTAGGATTGTACCACGCTACATTTCATTTTCTGTTATTAGTAAGGATGTGGATATCAAACATTTGCTTTTCTGTATGACATTATGTAGCTTAGGCTGCATCGCATGGACTCCGCATGGAGCTTGCTCCGCATCCTAGATTTCTCAGCTTTCTTTGTTGCAGAGTTCTGCTGCTTTAGCGGATAGCATGTTTATGGCTCTTGCGATCCACTACAGGTCTGAGGATCGTGCAGCGGGCCTCTATCTGCCCTGGCCTACAGCCAGGGCCTATCTGGCCATTTTCCCTGTTCAGCCTGTGGGACCAGGCCGTGGCCTGATCCCACAGGCCGTGTGGTTATTCAGTCCAGACCAGTCCTGCCCGGTACCACTGTCGGTACCAGGCCAGTCTAGTCCAATCCAGTCAGTCCGCTGAGGGTATACCCCAACTATAGTCTGTTTTGTGACTCATTCTTCATTTGCACAGATTGGAGTACGTGCGTGTTGAGTCTGCGTTGGAGCTGCGCTGTCCCTTCCAGTTCCATCTCCATCTCCCCCATCCTCATCCCTTCGTCTTGATCCTGACGGACCGCCATCCCAGCAGGTCCGTCACACGGAGTATTGTGCCGAAGAGGATCGTCTGGCCGAGGGGGTTGACCGGTTTTGATCATTCCTGATCGATTGTTCCCTGGGGGAAGGACTGGGAGACAGGTTTTCCCCAAGCCCCGTTGTGCCCTGAGAGGAGACTGCACTTTTGGTACTTTCCTCACAAAGGCAGTCTCCTTCCACTCTGAGGTATCTCTTACAGCCCTTGCACCATTCGGTTTTACTGTTCACAAGGTCACCTATTAAAAATTCGTTTCCGGTGAACACCTTCAGAGTGCGAACGTATTTCTGCTCGGCACTTGGGTGCAGCCCGTACTTAATATTACCCAAGTTAGGATCAATGGGGTCATTCACTATATCATAATCCTTTATGACTTTCCCCATGGCCAACTCGATGCATGTTCGGATGTACATGGAGGCATCGATGGGAAACCGCACGGCCATTACCCAATATTCCTTTTTTTTTTCTTCCTCCCTGTGTAATAACCATTCTGCTTTAGGCATCCAGGCCCTAAAGAGGATTTTGTAGGTCTTCCCCCTTTCAATGAACCTTTCCATGCCTTTTTGCAACATCCATTCAGACATCACGGTTAACTTGGGAATGTAAGTGAGTTGCATCTTACTCTCAAAGTGAGTAAGACCTCTGTGCGACATCAGCTTATCTTAAGGTAGCAGGGCATCTTCGATTGATCGGATCAAATCCAGTTTCTTATCATTTGGCAGGTTCTTTGCCTCCCCCTGAAAAAGGATAGCGACCGCGTGTTGCTTCAGGAAGTCTTCTTCCACTTTCCGGATGCATTCTTTCGGGCGGATCTCTAAACAACTTTCCTCTTCGTTGACTGTTGCTTCGACGTATTCAGAGACATCCTGAGATGTTTGGTTCAGGTACCATTCCCCGACCATACTGGCGAGGCGGGTCAGCTCCTCATCAGGTAAGGGTTGCAAACCTGTTGGAATCACGGACTGTGCATTTCCATCTCCGGAGTCGGAGGTGACTTCCATCTGGGACAGAGCGGAGGTAACTTCAAGGAAGTAGGAGAACTATAGAACGATTGGTGAGAGGAGGAGGAGAAGTGTGAGGGTGGTTTTATGTCGAGGTGGTATAGAAAACCTTTAGAGAAGGGGGCGGGAGAAGTGTGTGTTGTACTAAGCAGGGTTGCCAGAGTTCGGGACGGGCCGAACGCCCTAACCCTAACGCCCGAACGTACGGGACCCCTTCGGAAGGCGTTCGGCCGATCGGGCCGAACACGGACCAAAAAAAAAAAAAAAAAAAAAAAACAAACCAAGTTTTTCAAAAAATTCCGACAAAACATATGTTATGTAGAAAAATAAACTAAACAACATTTGCCTGGGCACTACATCCAAATTCTTTACCAAATTTGAATTAAAAATCAAATACATAAAATAAACACTATTCGCATGGGGGTCTCGGAGGGTCGCAGGGTTGGCCGTTTTTTCGTTTTCTTTTTCTTTTTTTTCTGTTTTGTGCACCGCCGTCGTCGACGTCTATTGAGGCACGTCCACGGGCCTCGCCACACAGGCTTTCGAAAAGTGCAAAAAGAGAATGAACTTTTTGCCAGAAAACGACTAGATTCACTCACAACATTTTTGTCTTTTGCATGTTTCGAAAGTCTGAGGGTCGCAGGGTTGGCCGTTTTTTCGTTTCTTTTTCTTTTTTTCCTGTTTTGTGCACCGCCGCCGTCGACGTCGATTGAGGCACGTCTACGGGCCTCGCCACACAGGCTTTTGAAACGTGCAAAAAGAGAATGAACTTTTTGCTAGAAAAACGACTAGATTCACTCGCAACATTTTTGCCTTTTGCGTGTTTCGAAAGTCTGTGTGGCTTACCTGGCTCGGTTTTCAGCCTCGAAGAAGGGGGCAGACTCCTGTAGTATTAGGGTCTTATAGAGAGGCAGTTTTGTTTATACGGAACCGCATTAGGTTCGGGGAGGCCGTATAAAGCCTCTATGAGTGAGATCGGGGAGGGAGGTTTTCTTCGGCAATATAGTAGGAATAGGTGAGGGGAATGGTTAGTTTACAGAAAGGTAGAGTAGAAGATATAGGAAGGTGGGAAAGCATAGGATCGGTAAGAAGTAGCAGGGGATAATTGAGTTTGGTTGAATGTGGGTTTCATAAGCTAAACCGGCTGATGCTGCCGGGATAACTCCGGGTTGAATTGTGAGGTCCCCGGCCTCGCCCTTTGGTAATGTGCAAGGATGAGATTTTTTCAAAAAAAAAAAAAAAAAAAAAAAGTCTGTGTGGCGAGGCCCTACGGCTAACTGTTTTTTTTTTTTTTTTTTAACCAAATCACTGCTCAATTGAAGAAAGAGTATCATGAGGCCCTACGGCTAACTGTTCCCCGCCCCCCTCCGGGCTGCGCCTTCGCGCTGTGCGCGGTACACAGTGATAAAAATAAGAAAAAATAAAAAGAGAATTAAAATGAGTGAGTGTGCCAGCACCTTTTCTACACCACCATCTTTGCCGATTTTTAATTATTTTTTGGCATTGACAAATGCCCTGAAAATTTACTGATATGTAGTTTACATAATCAATGACTCATTAAAAAAAATTCAAAAAATAATAAAATTTTTTAGGCCCCGAAATAAAGTGAAAACAAAAAGTTAAAAGTGAAAAAAAACAAAATAGTGAATGGGCGAGCACGTT